CCAAGCCCCAAGGGCAGTACTTACAGGGCACCTAGGGAAGGGAACCCTAGGCGCATGCAGCCCGAGTATTGGAGAATCACTCCCGGCTCACGCACCACCTAGAAAACAGACACCACACTCTAGGTACAGTGCTAAAACAACCACTGGAGCCGGAGCACATAACCGGTGCCTATAGCATCAGCCGAAGAACTGATGGGTGGATAGCCGGCGTGGGAGGTCTGGGGCTCCCCCTTCCCCCTCCCGGGGAGGGGGGAGCTGCTGTTTTGGAATGCTTACCTTTCTGGATGCTTGACCCGGTCGATGGCAGACATAGAATGCTTCCAACCACACGGGGGTTTCTATAGGCCATTGCTCCCCTTGCCTCTCTGAGGGGGCCAGGTTCTGGCCGTGGTCCCCGGTAGGCCCTAGAACTCCATACACATGACTGATGCCAAAGTCTGACATTAGCATATCAGCCGGTAAAGCTCCGGGGAGCCGACGGGGCTCCCCCCAAAAAAATCAAATTATGATTCTCCATCTTCTTTGTGCACTGATCATTTTTTTTTTTTTTTTTTTTTTTTTTTTGAGATATATACAAGAATTGTTACATTCTTGTACAGCCACTAGTACGCGTAGCGTTTCGGGCAGGTCCCTGGAATACGATCCCCTGCCGCGAATTATCATTTTTTCATCCAAGTACACATTTTACTGTTGCGTTAAACAGAGGCTACAGTTAAGGAATTGCGCCCAGTAAATCCTCCCCGGCCAGGATACGAACCCATGACATAGCGCTCGCGGAACGCCAGACGAGTGTCTTACCACTACACCACGGAGACTGTAAATCATGACTGCTAGCAAATTGATATCCAAACTGATTGGAAAAATTTTAAGCTTCATTGAGTAGAACATTTTTGGGTGGGATTCAGAATTATTATTAAACAATCAATGCTATTTTAGGTTCCTGTTCTATATTTATCTTAACATCTTTGTAGTATAGTGTCAGCAGGTCAAACATTGCTGTTTACTTATTTGTGTATTTACTTGCAATAAATACACAAATAAAAAAAAACAATATTAATATTAATGTATTACAGGTCTCACTTGAAATTACTGTATTCAGTTAGTTAAATAATTTGAATTGAATTTGATTACGGATACATCATGAATCAGGATTCCATCCGTTTAATGCCATGTGCTATTGCTAGCCATGAGCGTGGCTCTTCTGAATGTCACTTGACAACCTACACTCCCAACAAAGGCTTGAAGTTTCTAAAACAGTATAGTGCAGAAGATCAAAATCTGATAGCAAAGCGAAGTGAACTGAACTCGGATGGAGAATCTCAAGTATGCCTCCATCATGAAGCTTTGCTCTTGATGAAATTTGAATTTTTGCAAAAAATTTGCTGCAATCCCTTCAAGAAGAAATGCCACGTAAAGCGAAAAGATTTGCGACCAATCACAGTAGCTACTACAGAGGATAATTCTAGGATAAGACTCCCCATGAGGCTTGGAAACCTCTCACACACCCAACTAACAGGCTGTACTTTCTCTGCGAGAAAGTGGCCCACCTGTGGCTAGCCTTGTGGCTAGCGTGGCCCCTAGGTGATGGGGTTCCCAATGTTTTAGATCGGTAGTGGCTCAGCCACCATGGACCAAAGCAAGGATTACACTAATAATGGATAAATTTGCCTTCTGCAAATTGTCATGCTCTGGATTTGACAGCCTGCAATAGCCTACAATATACATACGCCTCGCATATAAGTGTCATTTTCAGAGTCCTGTGGCTGAACTAGGAATTCAGATACCAATCTAAATAAAAGTTATTCTTGTACAGAAAAATCTCCTCTATCCAATGGTGTCATTCAAAACCAAATTGGGAATGACACATAGAGATATTTTGAGATATATTGGCAGTGATATTGGCATGGTTTGGTAGCTGAATGGCTACCCAAACTACATTTTTTATTACACTGCTGTATTCCGCACCAAAAGTTGCCCTGGTTATCTTGAGGTTATCTTGAGATGATTTCGGGGCTTTTAGTGTACCCGCGGCCCGGTCCTCGACCAGGCCTCCACCCCTAGGAAGCAGCCCGTGACAGCTGACTAACACCCAGGTACCTATTTTACTGCTAGGTAACAGGGGCATAGGGTGAAAGAAACTATGCCCATTGTTTCTCGCCGGCGCCTGGGATAGAACCCAGGACCACAGGATCACAAGTCCAGTGTGCTGTCTGCTCGGCCGACCGGCTCCCGGCCAGTATGCCAAATTTCACACCTCTCTGGACACTAGTCATGATTTAACAAAGGGTCAAAGTTGGTAATTTTTGTGTTATTTACACATTAACGGGACGGGAGCCCATTCAATATCGACCTGTTATTTAAGAACCAAAGCAGATTGAGCTTCAATATTTTGCACATTTTCATTTGGGGTCTAGGGATACTTTATTACAAAATTTCATTTAGATTTCATTAGATTTTGAAACTTTTCCTCAAAATGATCCTCATATTATGCTTCAGTGAACCAATGTATAACCCTGAAATGCTATCCTCATGTACCTAGTAATCCTTGTTTCTTTATTGTGTATTGTTATTATTGTTAATTATGCTGATCTGCTTTTGTGTCAAAATTTCTTCAATTACCTGTAAACATTTTTTGTTGATTTTACCCTAATTATTCTTCTTAAAATTATCTGTACCTGTAAAGAAAAGCTGTAAAATACCTGCTAACATTTTTTATCAATTTTACTGTTAATTTATCAAAAAAAATTCTGTTAGTTTAAGGACTTGCCTGAAATGCTATGCATGCAAGTGGCTTTACAAGAATGTTACTTCAACTTATTTTCTATATTCTCTGTTAACCCCCAATGTAACTTCTTGTATATAAATAAATAAATTTAGAAAGGGTCGAGTGGGAGGCCTTTGGTAAAATCACATGAAATGACCCTATACTTAGCTCTTGCCAATATGGTTTCAGACCCAATAAAAGCACTAACGATGCACTGATTAGTATGATTAACTTGATACATACAGCTCTTGATAAAAATGAGTTTCCTGTTGGGTTATTTGTGGATCTGCGTAAGGCTTTTGACACTGTCAACCACCAAAACCTTCTTAAATTACATCATTATGGAGTCAGAGGTCACTCCCTGCAATACCTTCAGTCTTACCTTACTGACAGGCTCCAGAAGGTTTCTGTGAATACCAGTACAGTAATTCCATTTCTCCTACACTACCCATAAGCATTGATGTTCCACAGGGCAGCATAATTGGCCTTTTCCTCTTTCTCATCTACATTAATGACCTTCCAAATTTTTTTCAAATGCCTCTCAACACCTCAGACCAATCTTATTTGCTGATGACACAACCTTCATTTTCTCCAGTCCTGACCCTCTTGGTCTAAATGTCACAGTGAACACTGAACTAAAGAAAGTCCATCTTTGACTAACTGCTAACAAACTCACCCTTAACATTGACAAAACTTTCTATATTTTGTTTGGTATTAAATCCTCAAATAAAATTAATCTAAGAATAAACAATATCCAAATTAGTAACAAAGTTGATGGTAAATTCCTTGGTGTCCTCATCGACAACAAGCCGAATTTCCAGGGACATATTCTATATACAGTATAGCAAAAAAGTTTCTAAAACTGTTGGCATTCTTTCTTAGATCAGATATTATGTACCTCACCCTGCCCTGGTGACGCTCTATTACTCTCTCATCTATCCTTATCACAACTATGGTATTTGTGCTTGGGATTCTACTACACAAAATCATTTACGTCCTCTAATTACCCAACACAAAGCTGCTATTAGAACAATATCTAACTCTGACCCCAGACAGCACTCGGTACCCCTACTCAAATCTCTAAATATGTTAAGATATTAAGTCACTGCACATCCTCTCATGTGTACTCTATATATTTAAAACCATTAACTGTAATGTCAATCCTGACATGTAATGTCAATCCTTAAAAGGTTCTTAGAAGGTTGTAACAGAACTCATGGGTACCACACCTGAAACAAATACCTAATTGATATCCCAAGAGTACGACTTAATCAAACTAGAAATACTCTGCAAATCAAGGGACCCAGAATGTGGAATGACCTTCCCAATCATGTCAAAGATTGTACCCCTCTCAACCAGTTTAAGATAAAGACTATAAACTACCTAATAAATTCCATGTAACCTACCATACCCCTAAATGTCAACCCATGTCTTACTTTTATAATCAATGTTGTTTGTTGACCAACTTGTATAATTGCTATTCTCTGTCTTGTTCCCCCCCCCCCCTTTATTTATTTTTTTATTTTTTTAACATAATTTATACTTTAAACTCAATTATTATTAAGTTTTAGTCTAAGTGTTTTTCCCCCACACCTTGCCCAAAACGCTATGTGGGGTCCGTCTAATTACCACAAGCTACACAAGCTTCACAAAGCTTCTTGGCAATACGTTAGTAATGAATTAATATGATGTTAGGTTAGGTTGACCTGACCTGACCTAACCTAACCTATCCTAACCGACGCTTGGATCGTCGACTTGATTTGGCGTCACCAGCTCTTTATTTTCGTCTAATTTCTTTATAAAAAGATACTTTTTCAGATTAAAATTATGTTTTTTCGTGTTGTACATTCAGCACCAACATTATAATGAGTAAATATATCATATTTATTCATTACTAACGCATTGCCAGGAAGCTTAGTGAAGCTTGTGTAGCCTGTGGTAGCTTGCGGTAATTAGACGGACCGGCTTTGCGTATTAGTGGCTTTAGGTATTGTATATACTATCTCTATCTTTAAATCCAACATTATGTAACTCAATGTGTGTACCTTTAGCTGAATAAAAAATCCAAATCAAAATCTAAATCTAAGAACGTTGGGCCAGACGTCGCCAGGCTCGACCCACCAAGAGAGCAACGAAAAGCTCAAAATTGGTGTTTCTCAAAGTTGTCCTCAAAGGCCAACATTGCGAGAAGTCTCCTAGTGATACAGGTACTAATTCCTAGTGCCGAAAATATTACCTTAACTATGTAGAACGTGAGGATATTAATTTAGCTGTGGCATCCAGAGCCGACGATACTATAAGGTGTCCATGTTGGTAATGCATAAAATAAATCCCAAGAAAAGCTGGGCAAAATGTCCAAGATTTCCCTAGGGCCCGAACCTTTAAGGATACAAGACACTTGGTACATAGCTCAGCTCCCACACAAAGATAGTTACTAATTCAGATACAAAATTTGTACGTTTCGTATATATAATTGCTCAATATTAATGCCACAATATAATGCTAGTAACAGTTAAAATCTTCTACTTAACATGCATATAGTTATTAAAATTACCGTTTACCCAACATTGAAATGAGTACGATATGGCGGGTCGTATTCCGGTGACCACAGGATTAATTTAAGGACCTTTTTTTAAACGATATGCGTGCTAGTGGCTGTACACGAATGTAAGAACTCTTGTGTATATAAATAAAAATATAAAAAAGTGTACCATTGATAATTCTGGGATGAACTCTCTAACCTTGTATACTTTATTTACGTACTCACCTAATTGTGCTTGCGGGAGTTGAGCTGTGGCTCTTGGGTCCCGCCTCTCAACCGTCAATCAACAGGATTGACGTACTAGTATGTTCGGGTACATGTGTCCTTACATACGTAGAATAGGTATACAAGTATATACCCTGCACAGCACAACATAGGCGGCAACTCGCAGTTGCAATAACAAGTGCGGATGCAACTTACTAGCAACCGCGAAGCTGAAAAAATTTCAACAGCTTCAGTTGCAAAAAACTCCATGCAACTTGCAGTTGCAAATATTTTATTACTAATATTTAAAATGAAAAAACAGGTTATATCGCCTATGGTGTTTGTTTCACCCAAACGCCCCATAAATGGTGGCTATCAGGTAAATTGAAGTAAATTTAGGTTCGCCCTGGTTCATCTAGCACTTATTGCAATCTGGGTGTTTCCAGGGACAACTGGTGGGATAAGGGTTATCATGAGGTATGGGAAGGGAATACTCTCGACCTACTAACAGCAGGAAGAAACAGTCAATAGGATAATACAAGTAGGTAAGTACAGGGATTGTTACAGTAGGGAGTAGGGATGGCTCTCCTACACCATGAGCCAATTGAGATCATGGAACATGTTTCAACTCTTATCTCAGAATTATATAACAATATATGCATAGGTTGGATGAGACAAGTATTTATATATCTATAAACACGTTTCATAGTTAAAATAAATAAATAGTCCTATTTGATGTTGTAGGGAGTAAAGAAAATATTTGAATAATTTTATGTACAGTTTCATCCTCATGCTAGCTTAAATTTGGCAAATTCTTCTTCTTAGATATAATATAAAATAAAAATAAATTTACCCATCCTAAATTTGAAATTGTATATAGTGGTATAAGAAATGTATGTGCGTATAGCAACGTGTTGGATGGGTAGTCGAGCTGCTGGGCCAGGTTATGTTTACATAGATCACCGCTAAGTGCTGCCGCATTCACCACTTCAATTAAATTACGCAACTAATCTGGACCTCGTAAAATACTCCTTTAAACTTGGAAACCTGCCTTTCTTTTCACATTTGCCTACGTGAGAGAGTAATAAGGCGTGAGAATGAGGCTAAGAGGAGGAGTGGTAAAAGGAGGTAGAGAAGGGCAGTGAGAGCGGCCGCTGGACGCCGCCACAACGTTCATCTCCCGGGCCAACGTTTCCCACACCTGGTGGTGTCCCAGCCCTCGCGCCACACACCTGACTGGCCCCTCACCTCGCCAGGTGTGTGCTCCTCACTCTGTGGGGGCAGTTATGTATTTGTGGATAACGGTTACAGTTTGATGAGAAGTTATACACGTGGCTGCATGGTCAATGATGTAACATGTGTTCTGCCCGAAACGCTTTGCGTAATAGTGGTGTCTCCGTGGTGTAGTGGTAAGACACTCGCCTGGCGTTCCGCGAGCGCTATGTCATGGGTTCGTATCCTGGCCGGGGAGGATTTACTGGGCGCAAATCCTTAACTGTAGCCTCTGTTTAACGCAACAGTAAAATGTGTACTTGGATGAAAAAACGATTCTTCGCGGCAGGGGATCGTATTCCAGGGACCTGCCCGAAACGCTACGCGTACTAGTGGCTGTACAAGAATGTAACAACTCTTGTATATAAAAAAAAAAAAAAAAAAAAAAAAAAAAAAAAAAAAAAAAAAAAAAAAAAAAAATAGTGGCTTTAGGCTGTTGTATGTACGGATACAAGACACTCCGTACATTGACAACATCGCACACTAATATTTTTACCACTTCGGACACCAGCTTTCGACGTTTCGCATATGTGTACGTGTTCCATATAAAAACGACAATATAATGCTATTAGCAATTAAAATCTTATACTTAACAGGCATATAGTTATTAAATGAAATTTAGTGATGTAATAGACATAATCCGGAGTTGGTAAGGACGCCGCCCGCCAGCGTAAACACAACACACCCGAATGCCCACAAACACGATACAACGCACAAAACACAACACTTCTGTCAGTTTTTGGATAAACTCCTTTTATGTTTATTATGTGAGAGTTATACTTGTATAAAATGATAACTATTATAGGTAAGCGCCTAATATTTAATATTAATCAATAAAAGCGAAGTCAGAAGCCACACGCCTGTCTGTACATGTCTTTTGTGTAAAAGTATTTTGGGCGCTCATGTACTTGTGCGCTAGCTGGCATTCACAACTGTTCTCGCCTACAAGCATTAGAATTAAACAAACGAATTTATTTATTCATTTATATACAAGAAGAGAAGGCTACCCTTGAGCCTATAATATTCATCTGATCACTGGTCTCCCATTTGGTCCTCATTGCTTTATCTTACTATTATTGAATGTCAATAACCGTATTATGCAATTTCAATTTCTTCTATTTCTTTCTTTATTATGCACCCCATACCCATCCCGTGGGCGGTGGTGTAAAGGATTACAGAGGCACATAATCGGTTCAGGAACTGAACCCTCTAGTTCGTTTAGCTAAGCAAATAACAATGTTTTATTATTATTTATATATTATTATTATTATTATTATTATTATTATTATTATTATTATTATTATTATTATTATTGTTTGACGCTAGTTACAAAATTATTAATGTTGTATACACATGTACTACACAAGAGGCTCACAACAGTCACTATAAAAGGCACTTTACATCTATAGTGAGTCACACAGTTACTAGTCTTGCTCTTCACCCACCCAACTGGGCGGCAGCTTTACAGTCATGTGCATGCATTACCTACAGTAAGCAAATTTTGGATACTTCGCTAAGATTTCGGGCAGCACATCATTATGAATGAAGTACTTACACATTTCATTATGCAACTTTAATAAAGTTGTCCTTCAGCATTTTGTGGTGTTCAGCTACCCTTATCTTTTGTATGTTCCTCACATTACCAGTATACACAAACATTGACATGTAGGGATATAGACTCTCAGGTAAGTTAGTAATTTAAATGCACAGTAGCAGTCCTAGGCGTTCAATCCCCGACCGCCGTCCAAGTGGTTTGGCACCATTCCTCCCCATCCAATCCCAATCCTTATCCTGATCCCTTCCCAGTGTTAAATAGTTGTAATGAACAGGCACTATATATTATATATACATTATATATATATATATATATATATATATATATATATATATATATATATATATATATATATATATATATAATTATGCCAGTATAATCTAATAATATATACTGGTCTAATAAAATAATTAGACCAGTTAATACTCTCACTCGTTGTGTTAGCATATGTTAGCTTGATAAAACTAACTGTTCATTGTTGAGAAATGTGTTAACAAACAATATATCTGACTTTATCAAGACTGTAGCTTGCTTAGCAAAAGGAACTTTATTAAATTTGGGTTCAGTTTAATTACCTCTCAATGGATGAGTAATTGGGGCATAATAAAGGAACTAAGCTCATAAATGAAAGATGGGAAAACAACATTAGAGAGATAAACTCGAGAGACGTTTTCATGTTAACCCGAAAATTATTTGAGGAGCAAGACGGACTGCGGGTCAGGCAATTGGTCTTCATGCTATCGTTATGGGGGATCAGCCATTACACGTGTTAATGACTCTTGTATAGTTGTGTAGTTAAGGACAACAGGGTAAAGGGGTAATGGGCATTGTGGTTGATTGTTCTACCTGGGAATCCTCCACTGTTTTATATCTTATGTATGTATGTATGTATGTACTCACCTAGTTGTGTTTGCAGGGGTTGAGCTCTGGCTCTTTGGTCCCGCCTCTCAACCGTCAATCAACTGATGTACAGATTCCTGAGCCTACTGGGCTCTGTCATATCTACATTTGAAACTGTGTATGGAGTCAGCCTCCACCACATTACTGCCTAATGCATTCCATTTATTAACTACTCTGACACTGAAAAGTTCTTTCTATAATCTCTCTGTGGCTCATTTGGGTACTCAGCTTCCACCTGTGTCCCCTTGTGCGTGTACCACATGTGTTAAATAAATGTATGTATGTATGTAGGTAAGGAGAGAGAGAGAGAGAGAGAGAGAGAGAGAGAGAGAGAGAGAGAGAGAGAGAGAGAGAGAGAGAGAGAGAAAGAGATGGAGAGAGAAAGAGATGGAGACCGAGACAGAGAAATAGATATAGACAGAGTCAGGGAGAGAATGTTAGACACAGAGACAGATAGATAAGGATATGCAAAGTCAGTGAGAGAATGACAGAGATAGAGCGAGGAAAGAGACAGAGAGATAGGCTGACACAAAGAATGGCAGAAACGAGGAGAGGCAGAGACAGAGGGGGACAGGGACAGGAGCAGAGGGACAGGGACAGACGCACAGGGCCAGAGGAGGGACGGGGGAACAGAGGGGGGGCAGTGGGACAGGGACAGAGAGGGGACAGGGACAGAGACAGAGGGACAGAAACACAGAGACAGAGGGACAGGGTCAGAGAGGGGGACCGGGGGACAGAGGGAGGAGAGGGGGGCAGGAGACCAAGAGAGAGGGGACAGAGGAGAGACAGGGGATAGAAAGAGTGGGCAGGGGGGACAGGGACAGACAGAGAAGGACAGGGACAGAGGGACAGGAACAGGGGCGCAGAAAGGGCAGACAGGGGGACAGGGGGCAGAGATAGGGACAGGGGAACAGAGACAGGGACAAGGGGACTGGAGGAAAGGGAGGGGGACAGATGAAGGACAGCGGACAGAAAGAGTGGGCAGGGGGACAGAGAGGTACAGGGGACAGAGAGAAGGACAGGGGGACAGAGATGGACAGGGGGACATAGAGGAACAGGGGGACAGAGAGGAACAGGGGGACAGAGAGAGACAGGGGGACAGAGAGAGGGACACTGGGATAGAGAGGGACAATGGGATAGAGAAGGACAGGGGGACAGAGAGATGGAAAGGGGGGACAGAGAGGGGGACAGGGGGAAAGGGATCGGGGACAGAGGACAGAAAATGTGGGCAAGGGGACAAAATGAGGGACAGGGGGACAAAGGTGGACAGGGGGACAAAGATGGACAGGGCGACAAAGATGGACAGGGGGACAGGAGGAAAGGGGGGAGATGTATGAGGGGGGATTGTTTGCAAGAGATGGAGAAGGGGTATTTAGAACGGTAAGTTAGAGAGGGGGCAACTGAGGCGCATCATTGAAAAGCAAATGAGCATCATTGCAATAGCAGGAGCCACGCACATCTTCAGCCTGCGTTGTTGAGACATTGTCAATTAAGCGGTGTCCAATAACAGTATCTTCGGTATTTAAGCGATACCTTAAAAAATACTGGAAATATTGAAAGCTATTAATCCAGATATTAATCCCCTTGTGCAACGTACACAAGAGGCAACAGCTTCTAGCTCTGCAAGCGGCAATATAAAATAGAGAATAGGCGATTGTTTTCACTCATAGTGTAATAAACCCACGGACCCACCCACCCGCTGAAGCCGTAAATACCAAGACATTACTTCCGTTTAAAATTTAGCCGGAATAATCCTCAGGTATGTGGAGGATGTGGGAGGCCTTTGATCAACCGCCGACTTCCTGCCCCGTCGACGGGGCCATCAGCCCTCAGTCTGCCCTCAGCCAAATTCATGTGAAACATGTATGTGTGTGTATTAAATATTTTAATTTATTATTTCTAAGATTTAGCTGTTAGCTCTTGGACCCCGCCTTTCTAAGCGTCTGTTGTCTAATGTACCGACTCTCGCCCTCTTTTCCTCCATCATATCTAAACAACATATATTTTTATCTAACACACACACACATCCCCAAGATGCAGCCTTTAGCAGCTTCCTGACTTTCAGGTTCCTATTTACTGCAAGGTGAATAGAGGCATTAGTGTGTGTATGTTTGTGTCTGTGTGTGTGTGTGTACGTGTGTGTGTATGTGTGTGTGTGTGTGTATACTCACCTAGTTGTGGTTGCGGGGGTTGAGCTCTGGCTCTTTGATCCCGCCTCTCAACTGGCAATCAACTGATGTACAGATTCCCGAGCCTACTGGGCTCTATCATATCTGCATTTGAAACTGTGTATGGAGTCAGCCTCCACCATATCACCTTACCTTGAGGTGGTTACCTTGAGGTGCTTCCGGGGCTTAGCGTCCCCGCGGCCCGGTCGTCGACCAGGCCTCCTGGTTGCCGGACTGATCAACCAGGCTGTTGGACGCGGCTGCTCGCAGCCTGACGTACGATCCTAATGCATTCCATCTATTAACTACTCTGACACTGAAAAAGTTCTTTCTAACATCCCAGTGGCTCATTTGGGTACTAAGTTTCCACCTGTGTCCCCTTGTTCGCCTACCACCCGTGTTAAACAGTTTATCTTTATGTACCCTATCAATTGCTCTGAGAATTTTGTAGGTAGTGATCATGTCTTCCCTTACTCTTCTGTCTTCCAGTGTCATGAGGTGCATTTCTCGCAGCCTGTCCTCGTAACTCATGCCTCTTAGTCCTGGGACTAGCCTATTGGCATACCACTAAACTTTTTCAAGCTTCGTCTTGTGCTTGACAAGGTGTGTGTGTACGTGTGTAACACACACACGTACTTATGTGGTACGTGTGTACTACATAATTGTAAGGCGTTTGCTGAATTAGAAAAGTCGGCTAGCAGTTCACCCTTAACGACACAATTAACTCATTACATAAAAAAATACGTGGCTGTGCAACAGTGTGTGGGAATTGGGGAACTGGTGTGCATTTAGACGACTGGTGAGGACCAACAATGACGTAGAAGGATGGCACCAGCGTCTGAATCAAAGGGCAGTGAGGGACAACTTGGCTTTATATATTTTAATCCCCTTACTGTACCGTGAGGCGTCCCTGGTAACCTTGCAATACCAACTGGTTTCTGATCAAAAGCTAAAGTCTAGTCGCCGCAAGGGCAATAAAGAGAAACATGAACATTTGTGGAAGCTTTGGGACCGTTACGAGGAAAAACAGATAAGCACCTCACAGTTCCTTAAGGAATGTTCGCGTTTTATCCCAGGAAGTGCCTGAACTAGAATTAGAAAACAGCAGTCTGTTTACTGGTTGTTATTTAACTTAAGTTAGTTGTAAATGATAATGTAAAAATAGCCACTGAGAACTGATGAGTTGGCCAAGACTTTTGCTCGTAAAGAGGGAATTGATTACCAACTTGGACTGCCTTTGAGCAGCCTGAGGGCAGCAATATCCCAGGAACATCAACTAAATTTCGGAGACTTGAGGCAAAGTTAAATTCACACCAGTTACTCCATCTATCATCATTCTATTATGCAAAAAGAACCGCACGTCTATAGGTCATCCAATAATGTTAGCAGACTTCTAGATGTTACCACTGCTAGACTTAGGCTCGGCTACAAGTACCTCTGGGAGTTTGTAACATCTGCTGATGTAGATTTGACTAAATGTAAACTCTGTCAGCAGAACTATTCGCATACTTTGCGTCATTATATAATGGAATGTGAAAAAATCGCGGAATTTAGAGATAACACCATCAATAGTGTCCAAGAAATGTGTAAGTACTTCATTCATAATGATGTGCTGCTCGAAATCTTAGCGAAGTATCCAAAATTTGCTTACTGTAGGTAATGCATGCACATGACTGTAAAGCTGCCGCCCAGTTGGGTGGGTGTGGAGCAAGACTAGTAATTGTGTGACTCACCATAGATGTAAAGTGCCTTGTATAGTGACTGTTGTGAGCCTCTTGTTGATCACTTGTGACACAAAGATTATTGATGTGTGTATTTGTGTAGGTGATTAGATATGTATGTGTATGTATATATGTATACGTATATATACAGTATATGTACATGTATGTATGTATGAGAGTGTGTACATGTATATATAATATTAAAAATTTTGTAACTAGCGTCACAAATTGTTATTTGCTTAGCTAAACGAACTAGAGGGTTCAGTTCCTGAACCGATTATGTGCCTCTGTAATCCTTTACACCACCGCCCACGGGATGGGTATGGGGTGCATAATAAAAAAGAAATTGAATTGAATTTTTTTTATTTTTTTGCAGGGATATTCCTGCGCGGGCCCTAAGCCTCTGGCTGGCCCACTAAGTGTTGCTTGTTTCTGTTTTACATGGGTGGAGTATGAGTATTTATGACTCGTATGATCGCTTCAGTAAGATTTTGCCATATGTGTTTAACAACTTCTTCTGCTCTGTTGAATCTAAGTTGAAATCTTAATGGGTTTGTGACTGTGCACTGTGTTAGATGATGTTCCAGTGGTCTGACGGGCATTTCTCCACAGTGTTGACATTTCCTCTCATCTTCCGGAACCTGTAAGCCTATTTCCCATGCACATGGGTATCCAAGCCTGATGCGATGTAAGTGTACTTCTGTTGTTCTACTGCTCCCTTTCATCAAACTAAGTGGTTCGTAGTTGGTTGAATTCTTGTACCATGAATTGAATTGGTCTGATTAAGACTTTATGACCATGTAATCTATGTTTTGCTCCACTACTTACTGGTTGAGTATGGGGTGCATAACAAATAATAGCCTCCTTCGGGGGCGCCTTGTTTCTAAACGTGTTAGTCTTAAATCCTTTAATCTCAAATCTTGCTACAATGTACCTCTTAATATATGTTATGTACTCTCGCAACCCAATGTACCTTCTTGTATATAAATAAATAGATTTCAACTGTAAGGGGGTATGGTTTGCACCTTGTTATTCTAATAATGGATAAATAATTCTAATAATGGAAGCGCTAATTATATGAACAAGTGCCATATATTTATTCAGACGAGAACAACAGCGAACACAAACCAGCGCATATACGAACGGAATGGTTTGTATGTACAAACTTCTCAGTGAACGAAGTTGTTTCTAGCCCGGTATCCGAAATTGCAGTATACGACTTGACCAGTCCCCGTATGTACTAGCACTATCTATAACTCCAGCAATGTTTGTATCTCACCTTGTATGTATGTACTTTACCTGAATAAACATTTGATTTGATTTCATGTTTCCAGGTACAGCAGATGTCATATCTCAAGAGCTCCTGCAACGCTACAGCTACTGTACTGGCTACAGTAACACTAGAATTGCTGTAATACTGGAGCTACTGTAATCCTGAAGGTACTGTAATACTGGTCCTTTTAACACTAGAGCTACTGTAACACTGGCCCTTGTAATATTAGATACTGTAACACTGGCCCTTGTAACACTAGAGCTACTGTAACACTGGCCATTGTAACACTAGAGCTACTGTAATACTGGCCCTTGTAACACTAGAGCTACTGTAACACTGGCCCTTGTAAAACTAGAGCTACTGTAACACTGGCCCTTGTAACATTAAAGCTATTGTAACACTAGAGCTACGGTAACACTGGCCCTTGTAACACTAGAGCTACTGTAACACTGGCCCTTGTTACACTAGAGCTACTGTAACACTGGCCCTTGTAACATTAAAGCTATTGTAACACTAGAGCTACGGTAACACTGGCCCTTGTAACACTAGAGCTACGGTAACACTGGCCCTTGTAACACTAGAGCTACTGTAACACTGGCCCTTGTAACACTAGAGCTACTGTAACACTGGCACTTGTAATACTAGTGCTACTGTAACACTGGCCCTTGTAACACTAGAGCTACTGTAACACAGGGGCCAGATTCAGGAAGGTACTTATGAAGGTTTTTCTTTTAGCTACAAATGTTTTCCTTCTTAGCACCTTCGTGGCGGCTACGTCGGTATTCAGGTAGCTACACTAAGTGGAAAAACCTTCGTAAGTTTGGTTCGGGATCTAAGTGTGGTTTCGACCACTCGTAGCTTTACGTAAACTGGATATAACTCAATTTTTCTCTACTACATAACACTGGGATAGATTTTAAGGTTTTGGAACATAAACAAAAGATTATAAAAATTGAATCTCGTGAAGAGGAGTCCTTCGTGTTAGTTATATATGCATTCTCTGCTTGAAACTTTGAGTAAATATGTCTTTTATGATATTAGAATTAGTTTTATAATAGCAAGATATTATACCCGTAGTTATTAAGTAAATAAACACTTGTGAACATGAAATATGAGAGAAGGTGATGAGACCTGCATGATGGGAGCATTTACTATCGTCAAATGCCCCTGTTCACCTAGTAGTAAGGGTGTACCTTAGCTATACATACCCATTTCTAATTTATTTAGTTTGGTTTTATTTTGAGATTAAATCTGGGCGAGACATAAAATAAAAATATGCTACACAAATGATGTTAGGTAAGGAGAAGGGCAAAAATGTCAAAAACTATTCATTGAATACTTAAAGCTATAATTATGACTATACGGACTATTAAAAAAGAGAGAGGGAAGTAGGGGTCCAAGATCTCTTCCTGTCACTCAACTTGGGTGTGGAACAAGTAATTGTTAAAAGAAGGCACCATGCCGGGAAGGCTATGTAGCAGTAAGGCAGTGAGGTGAGGCAGCTACTTATTTGAGAAATGCTTATTTTATTTACCTTATAAGCTGAGGCAACTTATTTTATTTGAGGAATACTCAGCTGATTCCTCTACATTTAGCATGGAACAAATTTGTGCCCAAGACCTCTTCCTGTTACACAATTTGGCTGTGTGTAACCAAACTAGAAGTGCTCTACAAATCAAGGGACCCAGAATGTGGAATGACCTCCCGAATCATGTCAAAGGCTGTACCTCTCTCAACCAGTTTAAGAGTAAAACCAAGTACTGCCTAATTAACTCCATGTAACCTAACTTATTCCCTAAATGTCAACCCATGTCTTGCTATTTTTTAAACAATGCTGTTTACCAATGTGTACAATTGCTGATTTCTGCTATGTTACCCCCTTTTTTATTTTTCATTCCTTCTTTCAACACAATTTCTGGGGGGAGCCCCGTCGGCTCCCCGGAGCTTTACCGGCTGATATGCTAATGTCAGACTTTGGCATCAGTCATGTGTATGGAGTTCTAGGGCCTACCGGGGACCACGAGCCAGAACCTGGCCCCCTCAGAGAGGCAAGGGGAGCAATGGCCTATAGAAACCCCCGTGTGGTTGGAAGCATTCTATGTCTGCCATCGACCGGGTCAAGCATCCAGAAAGGTAAGCATTCCAAAACAAACCCCTATTCTGGTGAAAATTGCTACCTAAGCCGAACTAGTGAATAGAACTCTTCAACAGAAAACACGGAAACTAGTATGACGTCATACGTCACCGCGCCGCTGTCTGCGCAGCTCCCCCCTCCCCGGGAGGGGGAAGGGGGAGCCCCAGACCTCCCACGCCGGCTATCCACCCATCAGTTCTTCGGCTGATGCTATAGGCAATGGTTATGTGCTCCGGCTCCAGTGGTTGTTTCAGCACTGTACCTAGAGTGTGGTGTCTGTTTTCTAGGTGGTGCGTGAGCCGGGTGTGATTCTTCAGTACTCGGGCTGCATGCGCCTAGGGTTCCCTTCCCTAGGTGCCCTGTAAGTACTGCCCTTGGGGCTTGGGGCCACCTTCCACAAGTTCCTTGGGTCCTGCCCCTGCTTGGCCGTTTACCGCTTGGTTTTCGGCCGCTCTTTGTGTGCTCGAGTGTTCTGTCTCCCTTGTTCGCCTTAGAGTAAGGGGCAGTGTTTGCACTGGTGGGGCGCGGGGTACTGTGCAGCTTGTCTTTACCAATCATAGCGGCCGGCTCTGTTCCGCTTGGGTACGCTGTCCTCTTGCGGGGTTTTCTTTTTCTTTTGTTTATATACCTGGTGGGGGGGTCTGCCTTCGTTCTTGCCCCTTGTGTCCCTTGTGTTCTGAGTATTTCTGGTGGTACCCCCTGCTAGGTCCCCGTGAGTGTACACGTCCCGGGGGTTCAGCTCTTAGAAAGTTGTTTGGTAGCTTGGGTGCCGGTTAGCAGTACCCTGCCTGGGATTACCTGAGCGCGAGTCCTCTTAAAGTAAACGCTCGGGACCCTGGGAAACCCCTGGGGGCGCGCGGGTCCGATGGATGTGACCCCAGAGCCCCCCCCTCGCTTCCAGCGAGTTTGAGGGTTGCTCTCACCTTTTGTCTCTGGGTGCCTCTCTGTTTTGCCTCCGTCTGCTGCCTGTGGGGTCGGTGACACCTTCGACCCGGTGTCCTGCGAGTTTGGTTGCTCGTTGTGGCTCGGTTACCCAGTTGTGCTAACAAAGCGGGTGCGGGCAGCAGGGGCGTTGCACTTGAGCCTTGGTGGTGGCAACGTTCTCGTGGTTTCCTCCCCGGGAGCCCCGGGGCTGCCCCGTTGTATTTCGTTTTGGGACTTGGGGGTGTTGGTTGCTTCGGTTCCATCCACGCCCCCTTGTCTTTCCCCTGGTTCACCCTTCCTGCCTGTATCCGGTTCCTTACCGTCTGTAGGTTCAGGGCGGGGTGTTTGGTGGTGTTGAGACTCGGGCAGTCTCGGGGAATTCCCCTTCCGGGGTAGTGACGGGGGCATTTGGGCCTGTTCCTCCAGCCGTGTTGTATGAGTCTGCCAGTGGGCTCCCTTCCTTAGTGTTTTCACGGCTGCCCCGGTTTTCTGGTACGGCCGGGGCTTTGGGGGAACGGCTCGGCCCCGGGGCCTGTTGTGTAGGTTCCCGGGGCTGGGGAGGGGCTGACTTGGGGGGGCCTTGGCCCCGTTAGACCCCGTGGGGGGTTTTATCCCCCTCTCGGCGGGGCTTGTGGTTACGCGGAGTGGGGTCTTTCCTCCCCACTCGCCGTACGTGCTGTTGGACGTCGGCCCCTCCCCGGGCTCGGTTCCTTGGCCTTTGAGTCGGTTGGTTCCGTCCTGTGGGTGGATGTTTCCTCCCCCGCTTTTTGGGACGGTGTTTTTGACATGTTTCCCCGTTCGATGGGGTTCTGCGTGACTTTTGATCTCGGGTGCGCCTGCGCCTTCGTGTGCCTTCGGGACTAGTGTTGGCTTCTGTGTTCTCGAGGGTACGGGAAGGTTTTTCGCTACTTCCCGCATTATTGGAACGTCTGTCGGCTCCTAGTACTTGTCGCCCTGTTGGGCTACTTGTCGCCCTGTTGGGCTACTTGTCGCCCTGTTGGGCTACTTGTCGCCCTGTTGGGCTACTTGTCGCCCTGTTGGGCTACTTGTCGCCCTGTTGGGCTACTTGTCGCCCTGTTGGGCTACTTGTCGCCCTGTTGGGCTACTTGTCGCCCGGTTGGGCTACTTGTCGCCCGGTTGGGCTACTTGTCGCCCGGTTGGGCTATTTGTCGGCCGTTTGGGCTACTTGTCGCCCGTTTGGGCTACTTGTCGCCCGTTTGGGTTCCCTTTTTTTGGGCTCTTTGCTTCTTTGGCCGGTTTTATTGTTCCTGCTTCCTCTTTTGGCTCTTTTTCTCGTGCAATAGTCCTGGCTGGCGCCTTCCCGCAGGGAGGGTGTGCGGTTCGGCCAGCGTGTTATGCGCATGCGCCGTGGAGTTTGTTTTGGTCTGGGCGATGGTTCAGTGCTGGGGTTTTGCGCCCTTTTTTGCTACAGTGCTTCGCCTCTCGTTCTTCTCCCTGGCTGCGGTATGTGCCCCTTTGCGCCAGGGGTGTCCTGGTTCCCAGTTGTGGGGAGGACACCGCGGTTTTCTGTGTCATGGGTGTGGACCGCCTCCTTCGCCTCTCCCTGTTCTCCTGCGGGTCCGGCTCTGGCGTCTTCACCTGGCGGTGCTCCCAAGTTCTTCTGGGCACGGTTGAGTCGTGTCAAGTTCGAGCCACCATTCGCCAGGTGAGTTTCTGCGGTCTGGCGTCTTTTGGCCGGGCGCTGGATGCGGCGGTGTTCATATACTGTACCTGTCTTTATTTAGGTATAATTTTGTACGACTGAGACCGTTCGCACACCAGTGACTGTCCCTTTATCACCCCTTCCTGTCCCCCTCATGTGCATGTCCAACCCATGCTGGAGTCGTTCAGGGGACCCTCCTTTTTTAATGTTGTGAGGTGTGGGGGTTGTAGGGTTGGTTCTGTAATCACCTGGTGAGGCTCCTGGCTGTGCTTGCAGGATTTGAGCTCTGGCTCTTGGGTCCCGCCTATCTGGTAGAACTTGCGGGATAGTACCAGTGGAGTGCAGTGGTGCTATTGGCACTTTTGGGGAACACTGTATTACCATCAGTGGTCTGTGCTTGTTACACGACCTACTTGCGAGCATAAGCCTTCTTGCTGGTTCGTCCG